ACGACCTGAACAAACAATTCAACTTTGGTCTACATGTGCCGGCCGCACATCTTGATTCTGCTCCATTCTCACTTTTGAATGGCCCCGGGATACGAACTAATCACTAATCGCACTGCTTGCTATGCACGTGCCCGGCTATCTGCCATGCAGCACCATACATGTAGGAATGTTTTCGACGCTGGATTCTCCAATCTATACTCGCACTCCTTCTCTGTGTACTCAACACCTTTGTTATGTTCATTCTGGTCTTGGGATCATTGTTGTCTAAGGCTTTAAGCTCAGGGCTTTTAACCCTAAACCTTACACACCAAACCCTAGTTGGGCTGTGGTGCTGTTTCTAATTTTGCAATGCTGAGAAACGGCAAGCGTCAGGTTCCTGGCTTGTCGGGGGCTTTGGTGTCTTTCCAGGCTGAGAGTTGCGTTTTGGGCTTTAGGGCATCGTCTAGCGATTAGGATTTCGGATTTAAGGTTTACGGATAAGGGTTTGGGATTCAGGATTGAGGCCAATGCGCTTAAGGCTTAGGGCCGCTGAAAGGATCTTTTAGGAATGCTTGGTTGTGGCCTTCGGGCCCAGACCTGGCTGGACCTTCGACAACGACATTTTGCAGTCAAAATTCCGCGTTAGGCGTTTTCGAGACAAGTTTGAGTCGCGATTGAGTCAGAACAGGTTTGGGGTTCGGGCGTGTTTTGTGATGGCTTTGGGTTTGCAGGCTCAGGGTTCACGGCGCTGGTTTTTCCCGCCTTAGTGCAACTTTGCAGCGACAGACGCACCTTTCTGGTAACACTTACAAGAATGCGCACCGTTGTGAAGTAATGCAAAGGTTGCTGTTCCGACCCGGCACCTTTTGGTCATCTCAACTATAAGCTTGTATAAACACGCTGACCCTGCTTGTGCAAAAAACCCTGTATAAACTCATTAAAGTCGCATTGGGTCCTGCATTACAAGAACAAGCCAGGACGTTGGAACACAACTATCCCTCATAGGGAACCTCAACCCCTGAATCCCAAAACCCCCAAAACCCGAGGAGTCTAAGGGTTTTCTCGGCGTTTGCACCAAAACTGTGGTGCCATCCCAGGAAGGCAGTTCCCTACATAAATTTGTTACTGCATCATGGTCATAGCGTTTCTGCAGCCGCCTACAGAGTCCCATAAAAGAGCATACAGCATGTCTTCGCCCGCAAAGCAAGTATCCGATCTCTGGAGAGCGACCATGAAAATGATTACGGAGTGGCTGCTCAAGATCCCGCCACGCCTCAACCTTCAAGTCAAGTGGGAAGTTTACCTTCGCAGCAGCCAACCACAGCGATTCACAGCTGGCAAAGACATGGACAGGAATGGAGCAGTCCCAAGTGCTCTCGGTGCTCTCGTCCAAACCAAAGCATCTCTGCTAAACCAAGGCACAGCTGAGAGGCCAGACGAAGAACTTGCGGCACCTGACCATCGGATCAATCGGATCGGCACTCCACCACATAGAGTCCCTCAAGCAAAGTGACACAGGACAAAGAGGAAGATCTGGGGCACTGAGACTGCGGCTTCCGCTCACAGCAACTGCACCCTGACAAGGCAAAACATGGACAGGAATGGCATGGAATGTTGGCTCTGCATGTCTGGGGCTGGGGATGATTTTCTAGGATTTTCGCTGATTTTTTTGTATTGTTTTTTGCTCGTGTCCCACGTTGGCATTGCATCTACCTAGCAAGAGCTTGCTTTTCTGCGTCGATAGTAGCAAGGCGCACAGCCTCCAACCCTTTGCCTTCAATTCCACAGTGTCCGCAGATCCCACGAAATTGACTCTACGGACGCACCTCTGGGTCCTCGGACCTAAACCATCTAAGGCCCAAACCCTCCCTAAGGCTCCATGTGCCCATACAGTATAGACTTAGGCCTAAAATCACCTTTATAGGAACCCCTGTAGGCCTAAGTATATACTATATGGCTACCTGGAGCCTTAGGGCCTAAACTCTACAGCCTGGCAGCCCTCGCGTTTTACTTCACGAGTCTTCTCGTCGCTCCACAATGGAGCAATTTTGTGCTCCGTTGGGATGCTTGAGAGTCTGAGGTTCAGGGGCCTTGCGAGAGTTGCAGGTCGGATGCGGGGAGAAGCCGACGTGCTTTTCGACTTTTCGGGCTTTCCTGCACTTTTCGGATTGTTTGATCTTTTCGACTTATCGGGTTTTCCTGCACTTTTCTGACTTTTAGGGCTTTTCCACTTTTCGGGTTTTCCTGCCAGTTTCGGACTTTTTGGGATTTTCTGCACTTCTACCTTTCCGGCTTTCCTGCATTTTTCTAGCTTTTTTTGGCTTTTCTGCTTTTCGGGTTTTCCTGCACTTGTCGGATTTTTCTTTTCGGCTTTTCAACTTTTCCTGGACTTATCGGTTTTTTTTGCTTTTCGGCGTTTCGACTTCTCGGGTTTTCCTGCATGTTTCAAACTTTTCGACTTGTCGGGCTTTTAGACTTTTCGGGCTTTCCTGCACTTCTCGCAAATTTTTGGCTTTTCGACTTTTCTGGCACTTTTCGGACTTCTTGTGCTGTTAGGCTACTCGACTTTTCTTGCACTTGTGAAACTTTACGTTTGCTCGACTTTTCGGGTTCGGCTGTTCGTTTGCTTTTTTTTTCCCGCGATTTGTGGACGTTTGGTTTCTTTTCTGGCCTTGTCAATTTTTTGCTTGTGCAAGTTTTCGACTGGGCAGTAGCTGACTCGATCATTCTTAGAGTCAGTCAAAGCGTCGTGGTTGTGTTTCGTTCGGGCCTTCCTGCTCTGGCCGACGGTGGCTGCTCTAAGCCAGACGCACCACTAAGCAAAACAGCCGAACCCTGCCGCTGGGGCATGGTTGCGTCGAACCTGTCTCATGACAGTTCTGGCTAGTGTGAGTGTTCCCAAGCATCACGAAGTTATAAATCTGTGTTTGCGAGACTGCCAGCTGCTTGACTTGCCTTCCTACCCCCTGACCCTACTGCTACATAACATCTCAACCCCAAGCCATCCACATCACTTCAGGTCCTCGTCCAGCCCTTCTAGGGTTGGTCTTCTACTGGATTGGGGGGTTTCGACGCTCACACTCGCACAAGGCAGGCAAGGCTCCACATAGTCCACAGAATCACAACTAATGGCATGCAACTCGGGGGGTTTAGGGTTCAGTGGTTTAGGGTTCAAGGTTTTGGGTTTTTCTGCCACCCGCCCAGCTGAACAATGTCGCACCACAAGGTTTTGGTTTAGGATCCAGGGTTCAGGGCTTATGGTGCAGTATATGCGGAGACCGACCCAATCTCAGATTGAAAACCTGCCAACTGAGGTACCTAGGCCCTTGAAAACCCTATAAGACGCCTTTGTAGCCCCATAAAGAACCCGCAGAGACCCCCTCGTACAGAGAAGCCGTTGAAAGAAGAATAACCGAAAAACTGCGCCCAGTCCTTGGCAGCCAACACTGCCTGCACGGACGGGGCGCGCATCGCGCATCGCTGGTGCCTGGGAGGGGTGGAAAGGTTCTACAAGGGTGTTTTAAAGGCTAAGGCCTCATAGAGATGCTCAAGGGTCTCATGGGGGCTCTGTAAAGATTGGGATCAGTTTGATACGGGCTGTCTGTATAAGTGTATAAGGGTTCTTTACACGAGGACGTTACAAGGGTTTGAAGAACGGTTTTCAATAGTCTTATGGGGTTTCTTCGGGTTTGGGATTCGGGGTGCAAATGCAAGATCCTTCCATTTATAAGCGGGCAGCCATCGCCAAGCCGCTTCCGCCGAAAACAGCCCGCCTCGGCCTTTCAAACATAAAGTAAAACGCCTTCAATGAAGAAGCAACCCGCCCTCCCATAGTATGCGGGCCCTGGGGATCAGAATAGGGCCCAACATTTTATACGATGACCCAATTGACGAATCCTCCGGCATCCTACTACTTATGTTGCAAGCCCCCATATGTTCACACTGACCCCGTGGGCTTCAAGACTTTCTGGTGTCAGCCCGTCTCTGAAAACCAGGGTTTAGCAAGTTAACAATGTAGGGTTTGGGGCCCATACGGACTGTAAGAGGACGCTATTACTAGTTCGTCCGACTCCTCTATTAAGCCGTGTGCGTTGGCGCGTGTCCATTACCATAGAAACATGCAGGAAGCATAAGCGGGGCTTGAGTATCATTTCGCCAAGATAAGCAATTTGCATCCGCGAGCCTAGGGCCTAGAGATGGCTAGCTTCATATCTTGGAAAACGTGGAGTTCTTAGTGTCTACCGAGGTCTCCTTCTCAGTGGGCTACAGAATTATAACCACAGTACAATGTACACCAAAACCCTGTTCTAATGATGAAGGCCCCTATACATATGTATGTAGCCGATGTACACTGCGGACAAGTTCACCTGAGGCCCAGGCTATGGCAACGCAAGAGATCTATGTACAGGCCTACCGCGCGCACCAGTGTGATAGGGATATTCTGCGGGGACATCTCCCTACGTATGTTCACAGTCTACGGCTTGCATTTGGCAACAGTTTATAGTTGGCTTGGACCGAAATGCTGTGGAGCTTGACGAGCGTTTTGGGGCTCTGCAAATCCCTTAACTTAAGTCACTGAATGGGTCCGTGTGCCTTAGCCCGTGCCTCGAGATACTGTGAAATTACTGTAGCACCGAATAGAGGGTTAACTGTAATGGAACATTCAGTCCGATCCTGTGGCTTTCCGTTTTCTAGGGTACTGGATGCACAGCTCGAGCCAATCCAGAGACGTACGATAAGAATAAACAAACCAGTCTGACTCTTGGGCACAAAGCCTGAAGGACGCCTTTGCAGCCCTAATGACGGAAAGCTACGAATCGCCCTTTCTGCAACAAGTTATCTGAAAAGCATCGCTTGCGTCGAGCTAGCTAAGCTTCCACCCTTTCCCCTAATCGTGTCACACCTCGCAACGTTACTGGGCAGGCTTTCTGCGTTGCACAAGCGCTTTCTTGCTCTCATCTTTCGCACGAAGAGCACCTTCGTGTTGCTCAGCAGCTGCTCCGTCGCAAGGGCTCTGCACATCACGTGGGCACGGTGTGGTCGTTGTTCGCTGCGGAATAATAGTCCAACACCTCGGAGTCTCTGGAAGAAGATAGCAGACTGAGGATCAGCTTCCGCTCTGGTTGGTGCAGGACGTCGCCACCCGGCCTCGTTCATGAGCTCAGCATCCTCGACGGTGGCAGCACGTCTCCTGAACCACTTCGCAGCTTTGCAGCTTTGAAGGACCGGGAAGACTTGTTCCAGCTGCGCAACAACTCCCAATCTGCACGTTAGCGAGCCAAGTCATCAAAACTAGGCTACTAGGCGCTACCCTTCCCCGAACGCTCGGTGATGCAGAAGCTACTAGGACCGGAAAGGGAACGGTTCCACAATCAAGACCTGTAGTGCTCGCTAAGCGTCAACGACGGCTTGGCAAACGCCTTCTTTGGCGGATCCGGCCCATCCAGACTCCAGTTCATCAGCGGATCCAGCATGCTCTCCTCCATGAGAAGCACGCGAAGCCAAAAGATGCATGCATCATCGACTCTAGACGTACCAAACTTGAGACCCCTCCCTCGAAGCCTGTCAGAGAAGCCTGAATCTGAACTTGTTCAAATTCTCGCTGTGAAGTGCATGGGTCCTAGCGTCGTATGCTTTTGGAGAGTCCTTGTTGAGAGGATCCAGATCGAAGGAGGGCCCGCGGATGCGAAAGTACACAGCGTAGCGGATGTCTTGAGACGTATTTGGGGCAATAAAATGCGCCACCATGTAGTTGGCCAGGAAGACCTGCAAAGAACTGCGCAGCGCAGCTACACCAGTTGTCTACCTGGGTGCACTGTTTCCTTGCTGCGTTTCTGGGCCTGTGCTCGTAGCAACCGGTGCTGAAGCTGCTTGCTTCTACGGGAGAGTCAAGGCGCGTCACCAGCTTTCCCATTGCAGTGGATAGGCGGCTTCTTCAACACCTGAACAGTACAGGACTTGGCATGGACTTGGCTGCCTGCTGGCCTCTTGCAAAGTTTGAAACCTGTCTGAATCCACCAAATACAAGTGATGTCGGAGCAGGCTATGTGATGTCGTACAGCAGTTCTGTTCTCGTCTTCACGCAGCCAAAGCTACCTTGCAATGCCCGGTCGACAAGTTCACGGGTTTCTCAGTCGCACTCATGAATCGCTTGCGTGTCCAACAATGGAGGAAGTACATGATGAAGTCTTCTTCAAGATGCGCTTGTGGATCGAAAACTCACACCGGTACATTGCACACTGCGCACACCTTACTGTTCCATGAAATCACACTTAAAGACAAGTTGCGCTGTCTGTTTTCTGTCCCGTGGGGAGTCCTGCAGCACCTGCAAGCAAGCGAAGCATGTTCAAGATGCTGGGAGGACCACGCGAATTTTAGCAGGGGCTTCGTCATTAAATCCTGTGTAGCAAAACATGGCTGTACTAGGGAGCCTTGAAAACCAAGATTGATAATTCTACAGCTTCTATACTAGACTGAATGGCCTTTGTTTGCCACGTCATCCAGACCGTTCTGCTTGAAATATCCGGCTAAGTCCATGTGGGAGCCAGGGTAGCCTCAGACAGTCGGCGGGTAAATCGTGGGTCGTGGGCGTCTTCAAGAAAGCCGGAGGACATGGAAGTAGGTTTTAGGGCCTACTTAGAGTTTACGGTTTAGGGGAGTTTAGGAGTTTCGGGCCTAGTGCTTTTGGTTTGGGCGCCCTGAAACGAACGAGAAAACGGCTATGCTCTCAAATGGCTCAGCAGCAGCAGAGCTCACCGCTCATGTTCGCATCAGTGTCACTGAGCAGCACGCCCACCAACGCATCGAAATTGGTGATCTTTCCCCAGTGGTCCGTCACACCGGGGATGAAGCTCGAAGGCGTTCCTGAGATCCATGTTGACATCAAGCATTTCCGGCTGTGTCTAGCAGATCAAAGACTTGCAAACCCTGAATCTTCGAGAAACACGGGCTGCTCGAGATCTGCACCCTGTCTGCCATCTTGACCGCTGAGCTTTGGGACGAGCTTCCATCTATATGCCAACCTTGACGGATGCGCTCGAAGTTTTGAAAATCGCTGTCCACAGTGTCCTTGATGCACATGTCCTGCAACAGCGGGCACGCCGGAGAACAAAGCAAAGACCAAAGGCAATCCCGTTCCATGGCTGCCCGAAACAACATCGGTGCACACCCCGGAACTGCCGCTCTGTGGTGCAGCTGGACAACACTTCCAACACAGCACCCATCATAAGACCCTACACGCTCTACACCACCATATCATAGCCTATCCATCGTCATAAGGCCCTACACTCCCGAGTAGCAAAGCCGAG